CTCCGTCCTTACACCCTGTGTTTTCATGTTTGTTGTGGAACCATTCTGGTTCCATTAAAAATTTCCCAACATTACTTGACGACTTACTGAGAAATTCAGCGTGTTTGTTTTTGGCCATGCACTTAATTATACATGATTTTATTCAGTCAGTCGTTTTATTTTTATTTCATTTTTTTCATATTTTAGCTACTGTGATAAAGCAGATTCCCAATGTATTATAATTAATAAATTCTTCTTCTTCTGATCATGACCATTATGAATAATAAATAATAATGATATAATATTTATAAATTACAAATACCAATGGCCATAGGTTACAAAAGAGCAACAGCAATCTTAGTGTAGTTAATGGAGGCACAAAATCTGGATTTGGTGAGGAAACTGATTCTGAGACAATTTTTTTTACCTTAATTTTGACTGTTTGACTCAGTGTGTGATCAGCATTTGGCACAAAAACCTTCCTCCCAAAGATTCAGCGGACTTTTTGGACAGCAGAAACCCCCCCACTCCACCCTCCTTTAACTTAGTCATTCATTTAACAGTGAATGTCTAAAAGCATGTCCATACAGGAAGAAATTCACTTTTGCATATTGCTTTGATGGGTAGTCAGTAGCAGACATTCCAGACTCTGGCTGCCTAGTTGACTTTCTAATACGTTTACCATCCTGTTATAGGTCAGTGAAAAGTGTTTTTTTTTCCCATTGATAGTCTTTTGTTAATTGTTTTTCATGCAGAATTCATGAAAGTAGATGTTTAAGATAGACATTAACTGACGTTATAGACACTTTTATTTTCTGGGACCATGACTCATACAGACACACCTGTTTTCAAGTGAAAGAAAACACCACACCGTCTCTGTCTGTGACTGTGTCATTTGCAAAGGTATTTGGCTATGCAGAGTGAAGCACTCTGAAATGAGGGAGTGTGCAACCTACGCAAATGTGTATGTGTGCAGTCTTCAAAAAAATGCAGCGGCATCTTTTAACTTTACTTTAACACTTAGTTTCACTTTAGCTTTTTGTATCTTATAACTATTGTCTTCTCCGGAACTCACAGAGGGAGCCACCACAGCACAAGCATAAGTAGCTCACCAGCCTGTTGTTTGTGGTACTATCCCTTGATGACAGTAAACAGCTCTTCGCTAACTGGTAGGTGAAACACTTTAAACCCAGTCAACTGAAGCACTGTTTTCTCAACCAGTCTGAAACATATGACTCTATCCTATGATTTCTGACCCACTTCAACCAGCCCCTGTACAGAACACAACAATTCACTGCCAGAATCCTCATGCATACTTATAATTGCTTCAGCCAGCTAACATGCATGTAATGATCTAACCTGGTACAAAGGACGAAGAAAGGAGATTTTACTGGACTTTGAATGTGTGGTTGTTTTGCCAGACATGCTCATCCACTTTAAGCTTATAGAGAGGCAACAGTAGTTAAATAATCACTTCTCTGAATACACAAAAGATCAAACTTTGAAGCAGATGTGCTATAGCAGTGGAAGATCATACCGGGTAATGCTCCTGTCAGCTAACAACAAGAATCTGAGGCTACAAGCAATATGTGCTCACCAAAACTGGACAGCACAAGACTGGTGATACTGGTGTAGGGGATACGTTCTAGGCCTGAGTATTATAGCTCAGTATTGTTGCTAACCATGCCTTTCCCATTGCTGTCCATCCTTGTGCCATCAAGTTTTGTAGCTTGTGGTTGTTATTTTATTGTGTATTGTTGTTTGGTTTAAAATTAATAGATGTGAGTGTATTTATCGATCAATTAATTAATCAAATAATTAATTGCTTTTATTTCTGCTGGGCTCCTTATGGGAGGTCAGCATGAGAACAGAAAACAAAGAGAGCACACACATATCCACATCACAACACCATAAACCACATGATAAGCAACTGGGGTGGGTAAGGGGGTGAGAGGTGGTATTTCAGTTGATCATTTCGCTGTCACTGATTTGCATAGGTTGCTGCTTCCCACCTTTTTGTTGTTAAACTGGTCCCGATTTCAGTTCTCGAATCTCCCCTTGATTGCACACCTAGAAGGGTTTCCTATACAGTGTTAATAGTGTAAACTGATTTTATTTTGCCAGATGAATTACTGAATTATTGAATGGACTGGTTCCTATACAGCACTTTTGTACCCAGTTTTTCTGCTGCACTTATACCAGGAAAATACAGGAACAGGAACAAACGTATTGCATGCAAGGGTTTATCACAATGTAGAAAATTTCATATATGCATACTCCTTTACTTGAGAGTGCTTTACTCTGCATAGCCAAATACCTATATCTCAATACTCGCTGGTTGAAATTTGTACCTAGTCATCTTGTTCCTTTTGTCAAAATTACAACCTTCTGGCAAAACTGTAAAAGCTTTAACATGAACATACAATAAACTACAAATCTATTCACTGACAATCTACAAACACTGTGAAACTTCCTGGAACAGGACGTGAGAACACTGAACCTGGTTGACTGGCCCCTCCCTGTGTTTTGACAAAAACAATCTAACCATGCCAAAAACTCTTCTTCAGCTGCTTTTATTTCTGTATTCTGCAGCCAACATTCTTTTTTTTCTTCCCCTAGCTAAACCAATCCAAATTTCCAACGGCAGTATCTGCCCTAAGGTAGGAACTCAGTGCTATTAAAAACTGGTTTTGTAGCATGATGACTCATAGAGACACACCTGTTTTGAAGTGGAAAAACACCACACCTTTCCTGACTATGACAGTCTTGGGCGGTTCCAAACACTTAAGTTGATTATGGAGTTCCACAGAATTGCTCTCACATTTCAGTTGCTTTTTCCGTTAGATAAATATCAGAAGTAAAACATTTGCATGTTCTCCCTGCACTTGTATGGGATTTGCTCCCTCCCTCCCTTGTCTTAAGCCATGTTTTGAGTTAACTGGTGATTCCGAATTAGTTAATCATATGAGCTAGATGAAGATGGGTAAAATCTGGCTTGTAGTCTGGAGTGCTTTGGGTGATTACTAAGACTAGAAAAATGCTATTACCTGAGCTATAGATGATTCTATACATTGTGTGAATATATCAGCACACCTCTTCCTGTTGGAAGAAGCCACGAGGTTATCTTCAGGCTGTAGCACTTTACACAAACAAACCATATCTATGGTGAATATATGACAATAGAACACAGGCTTAAAATAAAAACAAGGATTAACAAGGTTCATATTCAACAAAGGCCAGTATACACTAACAGAAGAAATCCAAATCATGAGTGGGAAATACTCATGGCAGCATATAAGGATATATATATCTGAGTGCCCAAAATAAGGTATATACCTAAAAAAAAAAAAACCTAACCAAAAACAATGACATACATGTTTAGACTATATGACTTGTCTGGGTGTGGCACATATTATCAAACCCAACAGTGAGCGCTGTTGTTCTTTGCTTAATATTTTCATCCAACAAATTCAGGGTTGCTCTAAAATCATGTATTTTGTTCTAATCTTTTCGACACATTCATTCATTTGGACCTGGATAAACAGTAATGACTTGGTAGTAGAGCAGGTCATCTACTGATCCTGGCTGCTCCTTCTGTGATGCGTCAATCGAAGGATGCATGTGTGGGACTGTCAGAGCACTTAAGCATAGATTAAAAAATAGGAAAGTTGTAGAAAAGTGCTGCTGAACCAGACCATTTACCATTTATTTAAAAACAAATAGTTCATAGTATGGACAGTCACTGTCTTTAGAGAGGATATTATTTTCAAAAAGAATTTCACATTTTGACTGGTAAACCCACAGAAAAAACTCTTTCAAACTTGAATGGGAAAAGTCTAAGAAATCATGAATAATTAATGTAAGTGTGGACAGTGAATTCAATCTTTCAGAAGGGTCTGACTTCTCATGGAGAAAAAAATAAACACATTTTTAAAAATCAGACTGCATGGAACCTCAGTTAACACTTTCCAAGTTCACTATATTGACATATTAAGGAAAACAACATATAATACAAATAAATACTTAAATTAATAAACTGTGGCTGAAGTGAAAATTACCTGGATTACTGACCCAGTGTTTTCTGTTTACACAATTTTGAGTCTATTTTATTCATTATTATCTTCTCTGTGTGTGTCTTCTATTTTCTAGTTCAGTTTGCTTGCGCTCTTGAGTTTATCAGTATTTCTAGTTTATGTCTCCCAGTTAAGTCAGTCCTGTCTTTAGGTTTGTTTGTCTCGTCCTTTTTGTCCGTCTCCCTCCGTTCAATCTCCTTCTCAAACTTCACCTGCTCTGGAGCAGGTATAGAATTACATCTATTGATCTCGGACAACTGACCAGTCTCTTTGGAAAAAAGTGCCATCATTGCTGAAAGACTCCTCAAACCTATGATAGTAATAAGTTATGAAGGTGTCGACTATATCAGTGTCATATTGATAAGTCTGTTAACTTACACATAGGCCAAAAATAGTAGCTCTTTTCTGTTCTTAAACATAGCACGCAAACATTCGAACAGGTTTTTAATACTAAACTACTGTCCAACTTTTTTATTATTAATAATTTTATTATTTATTACAGACATTTATACGGCTACAAAGTTTTATCTGCCCTTGTAAAATCAGTCTTTCTGCTGGTACAACACTTATTTATAGTTACGGATGGCCACATGCTGCCAACGCCAACTCTGTCATGTAAATGCTTAGAATAAAACCTGGGTTAACTTAGCATGTTGTTATCCAGCTACATGAAACAGTTGATTGCTGATGTTGTGATAAGTGAATCCAGATAACACTGGCATTAAAGTTACCTTGAGTTACCTTTACATGCTTCACCTTACAAGGCCCTGGCTTTGCCCTCACTTCACACACTTACACAGGAGTCTTTACATGAACAGTCATGTAAAAGATCGACTATCTATGTTTCTCTTGAATTTGATCCTGTGGGGGGGGGGGGTGTCATTGTGTATTTGAGCTAGAGCGAGGGAGAAAGAGTCCCTCCTCCTTGATAAGCTCTGTGATAAGCCACCTCATCTCACTTCAGCTGTCACATTCAGGAAGCATAGCCTCCAGAACTCTGTCGGTTCACTTGATCGGATAACATTCGTTTGGAGTTTTCCCCGATCATGACTCGGGCTTCTTTTCCCGTGTTTGTGTTGCTGGTGTTTGCGGTGAGTTCAGTGCTTTTTTTTTAATTTAAAAAGTAAAGAAGAAGACAAAAAAGAAAAAGCTATTTCACCACTTAACAAAACTGGTTTTGAAATGTCTTTGTTTATTTTTTGTTATCTGAATTCTGGAAGATGTTTCAGCAAATGAGTTGTTGCTATTATATAGAAACACAACATAATTTTCTCCTCATCCAACTCACTGATAGTAGTTATAACTAGGTGTAATTGAAAATGTTTAGCCGTCATTGCATACTTGGCCGTGCATCTTCTACTTAGCACTCCCTTCTCTGGAAGCTTGAAGTATTCCATGTGAAAATTTTCTCTAGATGGAGTGATTGGGTGTGTTTCTCCTGTGATGCCAATACTTTACCAGCTAGAAAGCTGTTTACCGACTTACGTTAGATTAACTGGTGATTCTAATTTCAAAACATTAGAATAGAAAATGTAAAGGTCGAGCCATTTACATTAAAGTTACTTTCAGCTCCTTTCCACTTAGATTAATGAGAGGTATGACATACAGGGGTGTATGTGATGAAGTGTGCTGGTGTTGTTCCTATTATTTACTGCCATTGGTCAGTTGTGATGCTGATCCTGGACCAGTATTATAATGACAATATAGTTTTTAAAAACTATCACTAATAAACCAACATTAATAACATACGACATACAATGCAATGACAAGCCTGAACTAGCATTATTTTCATATCACAGGAACAACACAAACACGAGGATATCAGACATCAGATACACTTAAAATGGTTTTTTTTTTCTAGTTTTGGTTTCATTATCTTTTTGATGTCTGTTCAGGTTTCCTTGTCTGTCTCTCTGTTTAACCATTTAACATTACTTTAATGTTTTGACACTTTTGACACTCATGTTGTTAATTGTGTAGTTTTGCACATATCGAAGGCAATACAAGTGATACTGAACGCATCATTGACATCAGGATGATTAAAACAGGGCAGAAGTCCTCTATATGTTTTCAAAGACAAACAGTCTGGCAAGGCTTTCTAACGTTGATCCTGACTAATAAAGAACAAGTCTGTGTAAACGTGAGAGCAAAAATAAACTATATCAATATAAAACTGGGTCCTAAGAGTGCTGACATATATTATCATTAATATGTCCCTGACAAATTTGAGGAGCTAGAAAAGTGAAGGACAAAAAAGAATGCGGCCAGCCTAAAAAAATATGTGCTGTACATGGACAGCATCTTAAAGCTATGTCTACAGAAGTGGGAAAAACTGACGCAAGGCTTAGGAGAAGAATCTCACACTCAATTTGGTCCATCTATTGGTCACTGAAGCCTTTTCAGAAATGGTCCTAGTGGAAGGGTGGCTGTTAACAAGGCATTCTTAAAATAGGAAAACAGGGAGAAAAGGCTGAGATATTCCAACATCCAGTGTCTACAGCCATGGTTAAACACGGTGGAAATTCTTGTCAAAATTGATGGAACTACTGATGGAACTATTGATGGAATTGAAAACAGAACAGAAGTATAGCCAGGACCATCTGAGTGGCTTCATCTTTCTGTATGACAGTTATATTGTATAATTTTAGTGTACTGTCAGTACACTAAAAGGATACATGGATAGAAAAACCCACAGTGAATGATGAAATAATTGCCAGAAAAGTCAACTTTTTTGGAAAGTTGGAGAAATGGAGAGTTTATTGAACCATCTGACAAAACTGTTTAAATATTAATAAGATTTTAACTTCCATATATGACTTTTAATTTGTATTGTATTTGCTACATCTGGCATTTTTTTTAATTACTTAAAGTGTGTTGTGCCACTTTTTTTAGGTTTTTCAGGAGGGGGAAATCAAACTGATAATGTAGAAGTTTTGAAACTCACAAAAACTGTATGTATCAAATATGTCACACTAGGTATTAAGAGGTTAGAGACTTCAACATCATCTTGACAGAGAATGAGACAAAACGCAGTTAGCAGGCAAAAGAGACAAGCATTGTTCTTGAAAACTACTTAAATTACAAGAAAGTTTGCCTAAGAAAGTTAAAGAATAAAGGTGGTCATACTAAATATTAATTTGATTGTTAGAATCAAACAAACTCTAATTTTGCCCTAAATGTTATTGTCACGGTCTGCGGTGGCAGATCGTGTGAAGTGGAAAGAGAGTGGACCCAAATTAAAACTAACCGGGGCAAAACTAAACATGAGCAGATGAACTGATGATCCGACGAGGGACAAAGGGAAACTCACCCAATAAATACACAGCAGGATGATCAGGGAAGTGGAGGCAGCTGTGGAACGAGGAACCAATCAGACTTAACCAGACAAAATAAAACAGGAAACACAACACAGCGACAAAGAGCGAGGGAGGCCTGACAAGCTGGGTGGAACACACGAGACAGACAACTAGGACACAAAAAGAATGAGACTAAACGAACAAGAAACTAAGAACTATTCATATCAGGAAGCGAGGAAGCACCAGCAAATAGGATGACAGATCACTACAATAAAAGTAAACAAGGTCAAAAATGCCCAAAACATAAACTCTGGGTCACAGACACTAACGCTATTATGTAAGAGTATTGAAGTTTGTTGTGTTGTGTCTGTTGTGTTATAGCTCCAAGCTCTTGCTGTAGAGAATCACAACTCTGGATCCAGTTTGGTAAGAAAAAAGAGAGAATGGGTTCTTCCTCCAAAGCCTCTTAAGGAAAATTTCGATTACACTAAAGAGAAGGCGATTGCTAAGGTAAGTCACTGATACTTAATTTCACTTTAATTCTGTCTCCTGATTATTAAGCATAAATGCCTGTCATAAACAAAAAATACCCATGTATCAGTGAAGTAATTCAATGTTTAACCATGACTTTTTAGTGCCACCAAGATGGTTTTTCTTCAGGTATCGCCTAACCTTTTCTGAAACATTTTATGTTATAGATAAAGCATCGACTGTAAGAAACCACTGGGCAATCAGTCCTCTGAACAATAGCATTAGCATTTCTAGGTGCTGGCTCAAAATAGGGATCCTATTGGATTTGGTTGTGCCAATTGTAAGAGGGCTTTCATGAAATATAAAGACTGTCTAATTGTTTGTGAAGGGATCTTTAAACCCCCATTATTTTCTTGCTTGCTGACAGTGATTTCAAATGCATTCAGATTATTATTTGAAAGTTATGCAACCAAAAACATATAGAAGAGAACACTGAAGAATTGTAATAAACTTATTACCTATAATTAGTGTGCATGTGTCAGCCATCATGCAGCCTGCTTTAGTTTTCCATACTTTAACCTCTCTTTCTTACTTTCTTTACTTTCTTTCTTTTATTTCCTTATTGTATTATTTAATTTAGTTTAGTTAGTTACTGTCTTGGAGCACCTGTGACCCCCTAATTTCCTTTATGTATTGAAATATTTTGATTTTGATTATTAGCATACTGTTTAAAAAATGTTTTATTATTTGACAATTTAACACCACCAGCTGTAAGAATAAGAATAAATCAGTTTCACACATAATAAGAATTCATGTTAAAAACAAATTATTTAAAGAAATAGACAACTTCAGTTTTTTGGTGCATATGTGGTGAAATAATGAAGTCTTCCACCTTGTGTTTCAGATTCGATCCGATCTTCAGTTTGGCTCAAATCTTCTCTACTCCCTGGAAGGTGTTGGGGCAAACCAATATCCTTTCCATGTCTTTGTGGTTGACCAACATTCTGGTGATGTTCGTGTCACTAAATTGCTTGACAGGGAAGTGATCGATACTTACAACGTGAGTCCTCCTGTAGTTCTTCTTTGGTATGGAATAAGATTCAACAGCTGTCCTCAATACATTAAATATTAAGATAATTCAAAATGGACTGCCATTTATATACGCCTTTCCTCGTCTTAATGACCACCTCAGACTATAAAAAACATTAAGCAATACATTCATACAGTGCTTTAGTCTACATAGTTTAAGAATTATCTACAGCTGTGGTGGACGTTTACAAATACTCATCATCGGAATGAATGTCATGGTAATTTTGGGCCATTTCTTTGACCTCTTCTTTTTATGTACTCATGTGGTACATGTATTTTTGACTTTTGCTGCCATGATGCCAGGTCTCTCTTGGAAATTAGATTTTTAATCTCAATGAGATTTTTTTTTTTTTACCTGGTTAAATAAAGGACTAAAAAAAAAATCCAATGTCAATCATTTTTCCAAATGATTGTACAGCATTTCGGCTGCACAGTCGTTGTACAGGCTGACTGACTCATTAACTTTTCGTTAGTGAGTTAGTCATGATTGACTACAACAGGTAGTTTCTCTTTAACAGCATAAAAAGGATTTTTTTGAACCACTCACTGGATTCACTAAGAACTCAGAACAATGGTAAAGTCCAAGGAACTTAGTGAATAACTAAGGAGGAGAATTGCAGATCTAAAAAAGTTAGGAAGGTCACCTCTCACCACTCTTAAACAACTACAGATTCCAAGGTCATCATCAAAATAATTATATACAAGTACAAGTTTTTGGATATGCCACCACTTTGCCAAGTTCTGGAAGAAGATCCAAGCTGTTACCCTCAGATGAGAGGACATTGGTTCAGATGTTCAGGAACAATCCAGGAACCTCTAACACTCAAGCCTGCCATAAACTGGAAACTGCTGGAACACCAGAGTCACTGTGCACAGTGAAGTGAGTTTTACATCACCATGGACTGAGAGGGTGCTGACCAAGAATGAAGCTCCTGCTCCAAAATCTACGACTTCAAAGTTTGACACAGATTTATATCTGCCCACATGATCAAGGCAAAATTGCGCTTTATTGCTCAGACGAGACAAAGATTAGGCTATTCGGTCTTTCAAGCCCAGAAAACCCTGTACCAGCTTTTCAGCATGGTGATGATTGCACCATGTTCTGGAACTATTTGCTCCCAGTGCTGCTGATACATTGCACAAATGAATGTGGACTGTGCTTAAAAGCCTGTATATATAATTGGGACCACTTCAAAGAAATAATTAAAAGTTCCAAACGACCATGGCACTCATGCCTATGATGAATGCATGTAAACATGTGACCACAGCTGTCGACCATATCAATGGCCAATTAGAAACATGTTAAAGGTTACAGGATACCATTTCAGTCATAGTTGTGTAAAGAAAGATGAAGTGATGGCATTTTATAGAAAAGAAGAAAGACCAATTTTGCCATGATAATATAACGTTCTACAAAGATATTTTTTCTGTTGCTCACTGTAATATATAGTATTTGCTCTGATACTAAATTGGTTTCACTAACCTTTGTCACCTAAACTTGTAAAATGCACCTTTACTGGTGGTAAATCCACACTGCAAGGCGTTGTAGTTTATGTCAAGCTAAATAACGAACAACAATGGTTACATTTCTATCTACTACTCTTTCAGTTGTCTGGTGTTGCTATGTACAAGAATGGCACAATTGCAGAAAAAAAAATTGACTTACGAATCAAGGTTGTAGATGAGAATGACAACTCTCCAGTATTTCCAGATGTTGAACCTGTTGAAGTAGATGAGCTCAGTCCTAAAGGTCAGTGGTGTGAATCTCATTCAAATTTGTAATGGTAGTGAGCGGTGTAAAACGAAATGATTGAATTATAAATTAAACAAAAAGGATTTAGATTTTTCTAGTGTTTGTGTAATTGAGTGATCAAATTGCTAAAGTCTTTCCAATGAGCTGCTGGAGGTTACAGACAGCCTGCGTTCTGCAGTTCATGTTATTTCACTATTATTATTATTATTTTATATTTATTTATTGTCTGATCTTGTAAATAACAATTTTCTGTTAACATTTGCTCATTATGTAAAAAGCATTATTTGGCACACAACAGTTAGGAGCTCTTCTTGACAAGTTTGTATCATTGTTTTAAAACCAGGGCAGGACACTGCACAATATCAATATGGAGAACAGAATGTCTGTTTTTCTCATGTACAGTGTCAATGAATGTGAAATTAAGTTTTGTTTAAAATTTAAAATTCAAATTAAATTGAGTTTTGTTTTGTTATTTCATTTAATGCTACAGATACCTTGGTTACGACAGTCACTGCATTTGATGCTGATGAACCAGGAAATCTCAATTCTCAGATTGCTTATAGCATCATAGTTCAGAATCCAGCGGAAGATATGTTCTACATAGACAGACAAAGTGGATCCATCTTTGTTAAAAGGCCTGTTCTGGACAGAGAGGTATGAACTATACTAACAGTGTTCAGTTTAGACTGTATGTTTGACTATGTGATTCAAGAAAGTTCTTTTAATAAGATGGGATAGTGGTGAGATCTATAACCACTATATATGGCTATATATAGGGGAGGGGGGGGGAAATAACTATTTATCAGAAAAAAAAATTTGTTTATAAACTGGAGCATATAGTAAAATCAGTGGCAGCTGAAGGGGCAGGTTTTATCAGTAAACCACAGTCCTCGACACAATAGAGCTTGTTTTTTATTTTGTGTTTCGATGGCCTGTCATATTCATTCCTCGATCTCTGTGTCCTCAGAAAGGGCCTTTAGAGCCATTATTATGGAACAAGCTTACCAAGCCAGAGCAAACATCCAAGGGCAAATATTCTGGATACAGTAAAGGCAGAGGGTCCTTGTTACCCTATTTAACAAATCCATAAATAAAAGTCTCTGTTGTGTTTGTGTGAATGAAACTCAAATCCTTTAAGTAATTAGAAGATAACAATGATTATTTTCATTCAGTCCATTCAGTTAGATACTATGACAAAAATGATGAATGAAACATCTTGATAACATCCCAAGTCTCTGTTCTAACTCCAGTATTGTACAAACGTATTTGTTTAATGACTATTTTGATGTCTTTTAATTTCAGACATGTAGTAAGTACATTCTGACGATAAAAGGTCAAGATCGAAATGGACTTCCAGAGGGAAACACCGGAACTACCACTATTACCATAAATATCCTTGATGTAAATGACAATCCTCCCAGACTGGAAAAAGATCAGGTACCTCTCTTCCTTACATTTCTCTATATTAACATATACAGCAGGGGAAATATTTATTTGACCACCTGCTGAATTTGTGATTTTGCCACATAGAGAGAAAAGTATTCATTTTTAACGTGGTTTCATTTTAATGGGAGAAGCAAAATATCAACCAAAAATCCAGAAAAAAAGAACATTACATAGAATTATGAATTGATTTATAATAATAATAATAATAATAATAATAATAATAATAATACATTTTATTTATAGGCGCCTTTCAGACCCTCAAGGTCACCTTACAATAACACGTGAACAATAGCCAATTGCATGTCATTCCTTGAAATAACTATTTCATTGGCTGAAATCAAAAAGTTATTTCAAATGGCACAGAAAACAAATAATGTGCAGGATAGGACTGACAGAACAGACTGAGGAGGCTCACACAACACGAGTGAGGATGTGACCAAGAACAGAGTGGCACAGACAGTATATACATAGGAGGAGATTAGGGCAAAGTGAACACATCCGGACACAGCTGAACTCTAATTTCATGTTATGCATTTCACTTACAGTATGAAGGAAGCATTGAGGAGAACACAGAACAAGTGGAGGTAATGAGAATCAAAGCAGAGGACCTGGATCTAAAAGGCACAGACAACTGGGAAGCTGTGTTTGAAATTGTCAAAGGCAATGAAGCTGGGTATTTCAGCATTAAAACAGACCCCAACACCAATGAAGGCATCTTAATGCTTGACAAGGTACAACCTTTTTAATTAAGAAGAAATTATGTGCTGTTACTCAGCTTTTTTACTATCTGGCAAATGCAAAGTCAAACTCTGTGGCAAATGGCCCTCTTATGAATGAGGTAAGGATCAGAACCTTGATCACTGCAGGGTGATGATTGTTTCCTATGGTTGACTATGCTGCCATTCACAAGAGTGCTATTCACATATATGAAGATTTGTTTTACTTTGGTTTCACATTTCATTACTTTGTTACAGAGTTATATAATGTCATTCCAATAATATGTTACTTTGGAACGCATTACACCCTACAATGTGAACTTAGACTCAAAGTATTCCAAAATTTGATAAGTGTCTCTTATCGATAAAGCTCGGAGTCGTTAAATTTTGCCTTCCAATATTTTAAGCTGTCATTGACTTGCTTATTCAGCTTGCGTCAAGTCCCTGTTGTACTACCCTGTAGTACTTGGCTGGAAGACAAAACTATTACCACTGTATGAGGTTTACTGGCCATTGCTATATGACTACTGCCCATTACTTTAACTATTTTTTTCAGAACATTCATAACACATAGCACAGGAGCATAATTTTGCAGGTTAGTTTATATAAAATCCATAATACTTTTTGTTTTACAAAAAGCAAAAATGCATCAACAATAGCAACACTCCAATTATAGATGCATATAAAACACTGTATTGTTTCTTATGTGTCATCAATCATTTTAATTATTTTTTGAGCTAAAAGATATGTTCTTGTATCCGTCATTTACAGGCTGTGGATTATGAGGATGTAAAGAACCTTGAACTAGGCTTAGCCGTCAGGAACAAGAATCCATTAGTTGGAAGTGGAGGCAGTGGAGCAAGTGCAGCATTTGGAGGCGGTGGTGGAGGTGGAGGTGGTGGTGGAGGTGGTGCCACTGGTGCCAGTGGAGCAAGTGGAGCAAGTGGAGCAAGTGGAGCAAGTGGAGCAAGTGGCGGAAGCAGTGGAAGATTTAAAACCTATCCTATCAAAATCAATGTGAAGAACCAGCCGGAGGGGCCACGATTTGATCCTAAAATCAAAGCTATTCCTGTCTCAGAGGAAGGGAAATCCTTTAACATTAAAAATGTTATTGCAAGCTACCCTGCAAAAGATGGGGATACTGGACAACCAGCTAAGGCAGTCAAGTCAGTCCACATACATATGTGTCAGCTTCTCTTTCTGTGCACAATAATAGTGATACTCATAACTGGTCTATTTCTGCTGTAGATATGCCAAAGGCTCAGACCCTGACAACTGGCTAACGATTGACCCAGAGACAGCTGAGATCAAACTGAACAAGATGCCTGACAGGGAATCTCCATACCTGGTCAATGGGACATATACTGCCAAAATACTCTGCATTTCAGATGGTACGGCATGAATGTTGAAGAACTCTCTGGAGAAATATCAACGCAAAAAAATAAATAAATAAATACTGGATTATATATGTTTGTTTCTGGTTTTACACCACAGACATGCCTGGTAAAACAGCCACTGGTACGATAGCCATCCAAGTGGAAGATTCTAATGACCACTGCCCCACCCTGACCAGCAATTTCCAGACTCTGTGCATCACAGAAAATGCTGTAATTGTGAATGCCAGTGATCAAGACGCATATCCTAATGGCCCCCCTTTTCACTTTGAGATTATCCCAGAAAACACAAAAGGGAAATGGAACGTGGAGCGTCTAAATGGTGAGATGATGATTTCAGTTTTTTTGGGGTGTTTTTTTTTTTTAGATGTTAGTAGTTAAATAAAGAAAACAATGACAAAAGACAAAAAAAGGTCAATATACTAAAGTGTTGTTGTTGCTGTTGTTTGCTTTGTTTGTTTTACAAATTTTAAAATTTTATTTTGAGATAAAAATGTGGATTACAATCTGTCATATACACTCTAAGACTAAATCTATGAGTAATGCATATACATACTTATTTCACATTTTTCTGGTTTCTGACAGACACTACAGCTATCTTGCGGTCTCAGGAGGCTTTTTGGCCTGGTGTTTATGAAGTGGAATTTGTGGTGAAGGATCAGCAGGGACACGCCTGCCCTGAACCTCAGAGAATGACGGTCCAAGTTTGTACCTGCGAGAATGGAGTTGTGTGTGGAAACCAAGGCAGCAGTGGTCGTGGTAGAAAAAGAACATCATTAGGACCTGCGGGCATTGGGCTAATACTAGCGGGCCTACTACTGCTCTTGAGTAAGCATTATATGATTTTTTTTATTTGAGAATTTTGATAAGATAAAAAAGGACAATGAAAGAATTATACTGATACTCGAACCATAACAAAATGTAACTCTCTTACCTAGAAATTTAAATAAAACACTTACTGACTACTTTATAGGTAGACTTGGTCAGCTTTTAATTATATAAATATATAATCAGCCAATCACATCACAACACCATCTATAGGGAATCTATGGAGAATAAAGGCAGGTTAGGAAAAGAGGCATAAACTGGTACTAGCAGGGTTTACCTAATAAACCCTGTGTCTCTCCCAATAGGAAATACATAGCCAAAAGTAATTACAGACCAAACTATTCTACACTTGCTACCAATAACTACAAAAATTAAACAGATTAGACTTTTGTAACAATTTAAAATCCCCCAAAGCTTACCAAAGCTTAAAGGAATCCCAGTAATTACATCTATTTTAGGGATTTTACACATTCTGAAAAACTGTTGCACCTTCTTTTGACCTCACACCACATTTGTAGCTTTAACTTTAAATAAAACTTTTTTTTTACAGTCATTCCTCTGCTACTGTTCTTCTGCTTATGTGGATCTGCTGTAAAGTTTCCAGACCTCTTTAGTGAAATGCCTGACTTTGAGACCAAGTCACACCTTATTGACTACCGCACCGAAGGGCCGGGAGAAAACACGGTGAGACTGCAACTACCTTAAGTGTTGAAAACGGGAATAATCTCGGCATCGATGATGATGTCTTTGTGAAAGCTCCTTCAAAGTGATTTTTAATCACAATAAAAAACTGTTCACTGTTCTAACAATTGTATGACTTTTATAGGAAGGGCCACTACATGTGACTATTGGCACAGTTAAAAATGGAGCAATGGCACCAGCGGGAGGTTTTGGTTATGAGGCATCTCTCACTGACATTGATGGGATGAAATTTGGCACCTATCAAGGTGGTTTTCCAACTGACTACAGACAAGAAATGAGGGGTTTCACTGATTTCCATTCAGAGTTTGAGACCAGAGAATCAAGGCAAGGTGGATTTTTTGATAGCATGGCCCTGCCACATCACTTCCTGGCACAGTATTACTCTCAGGTGAGAAATTAGCTGACAACTAAATGGACAACTAAATCCAATTAAATGGAAAGTTTTAACACTAAATGTGATATGTAGTAGCTTTACTAATGATGTTAGGTGAACACACGTGTTAATGTTGCAACTAATAATGTTGATGTGGATATTATTCACTTTTTATTGGCTGTCACTGTCGTCAATAAATATGTCTTTCGTTATTTTTAAAGTGTATTGATTTTTTTATTGATTGATTTTTTTTTTATACAGAAGACAGTCAGCGGAGAGGACAACCTTGGCGTGAAGGATGGTTTGTTGGTGTATGATTATGAGGGCCAAGGGTCCTCTGCTGGCTCAGTAGGCTGCTGTAGCCTTTTGGAGTCAGACAATGACCTTCAGTTTCTTGATGACCTTGGACCAAAGTTTAAGACTCTCGCAGAGGTGTGCAGTGGCAAGACAATTTCTTGTGATGACAAACAAGCGCTACCCATTACCCCTAATGCCTACATCAATACTCAAACCTCAGTATCAAGTTTGATGAGTGCACAAAAGCTCTCCCCTCCACCCAAACTGGAGCCTGCCATCTCCAAAGTGGAGCAGAGTGTGGTCAGGAAGACAACGGAGCACTCTGAAATTGTAAAGGAAAGTACAGCCAAGGTGAAGGAAGAGATGAACACAATGAAAACAGGGTTAGCAAATCAAGGCCAGATGCTCCTAATGCAGCAGCAGCAGCAGCCTGTGTACTACACCACCACTCCTGTGTTGCAGCCAATGCATTATGTAGTCCAGCCACAGGTCCACAACACTGTGCTGCTGGCTGAGGCACCAACCACCAACCTTCAAGGCATGGTACTGGTTAACAACACACAGTCTGGACCTGCCCAAGGAGTATTCGTTCAAGGGCAGACACTAATGTCCAGTGGACAAGCCCAGGGCCCTGCAATGGTGCTGGTGGAGAATGGTGACACCCATAGTTGGAGTGATGGCCTGATCCAAGCTGGGAGCTTGTCTGGGTCCCAGACCATGATGGTTGTCAAAGGCAAGGCCCCTTCAGGGTCAACGAAAGTGCTAAAGGGGAGCCAGGGTCGTCTTGTTCAGGGAAGTACTCTACTGTCAGAAGGGGTCTCAGGATCTAAGAAAGTGCTGACAGTTGGAGTGCCAACTATCACCAAAGAGCAGCTGGTTCAAGAGGGAGGTCTTTCAAAGAAGAGTGAGGTCTTTGGCTCTGAAAAGGTCATCTACAGCAGGAGCAGCCAATCTACCGCCTTAAAGGCAAATCAATAGAGCATTCACTGTAGTGACCCACCTACTGGTTTTTAAGGTGACAAGAGAAAATCATTAAATGGCAGATGAATTCCTGGACAACAGACGACCCTTTTTAGTTTCAAAATAGTGCATTAATCTTATGCTTTCAGTATTTTCATGGGAAGCCTGTAAGAGCAAATGGTGGTGGTGAAGGGTGGTGGCGCGTGTGTGTGTGTGTGTGTGAGTGTTGTGTGTGTGTGTGTGTGTGTGTGTGTGTGTGTGTAGGGATATGCAGCTTGTGCAGCTTTTCCTGGATGAAATGTAATCATTTCACAGATTAAAGGATACCCTTATTACATTTTAGTAGATGTTGCACTTTGAAATGTTGCTACTATCAAGCAAAACTTAGACCTGTGGGAATAATCAAACCATTCAGTAATCCATAATCTCCTCTGGATGGTGCATTTATGTCATTGAAGAGATCACTTTCACATTACTCATCACATCATAAAGCTGATAAATCAGAATGTGTTTTTCAATTGGAATGAACTTTGCCTCTAAGAAGACAAGTGGACTCAAATCATGACAACAAAATGCTCACTACAATATCAGGACATCATCTTCTCATGTAACTATCAACTTTACCTGCTCTTCTTTGTTCTCAAGTTAACACTGTATTATGTGTGTGGGTATAATTGGTATCAATTGTTACATTCTCATGTTATATTTTAGGTCATCACTGCTCTCATTGTCTTGTTTTATTTTTATACCTATATACAATCTGTGTGTTTTTACACTAATAAAATAAAAACATTAAAGTCTTTTAGCTCATTGAATTTGATTGTTATTGCTCAGCCTAGACTGATGGGTACTGCAGAATGAACAACCCAATTTTGTGAACACAATAACTCAAGAATGATGTGATGTGGCATTTAGAAAACCATAGTTGCGTCTACTAAAAGTCTCAGACAAGTTCATATCTTGCCAACAGAGGTCAAGTTTTCTGAAAATCTTGCGAATTTAACAATTTGATAAAGACGTCATCTATAAGTTTCAAATTGATACCATAAGTTGCATCTGTTAAAACTCGAAGATTTCATTTCTGAAAATCTGGTGCATGCTATAACTCAAGAAACGTTATGATACCATAGGCATATCTACTAACAGTGAACTTGAATAATTTGGTCACCTTGACCTATCAAAGGTCAAATAGACCTTTGACAGATACAATCATGTGTGGTCATATATACCATCATGTCAATGCAGGCAACAATACACTGTGATTACAAGAGCTTTCAAACATTCATGCAAGGCTTAATAAAATAGGTTTGCTTCTGGTGATATAGGTATTTCCAGGCTGACCCCCCAGTCAGAGAATTCTTTTTAAATCTTTGGGGTTTTCTATTACATTGGTAAGGATTTGTGGCTGCGTTGATATGTAAAACCTGGGGTGTTATGTGATTGTGAAGAATATTTTTGCCAATAAAAACATATAAAATTCTAAATTATGACCAGTGTTGTAGAGCGTATACTTTACAGGGAATTATGCCACCTTTCTGCTGGATGTGGTGATCCAGCCGATCACCAGGCGACAAGCAGGTGGGTTGATTACCACAGGTATGCATGGGAAGAAGGTGGAGTAAAAGTAAAGTGTGGTTAACTAATGTGCACACGTGCACACACACAAACACACAGGAGGACTGGTGGGCTATGACAGAACCCCGTTCTCCTAATGGGAACATGCTGGAAACCAACAGTGTTTATCAATGTGGAGGCGGTGAAAGGCCCAGAGCATGGCCTTGTCCAGAGCAGCTGCCTGTGGACTCCAGGAATCTTCTCTTGTCCACAGTCCTCCTTACGATGTACACTGGGGGGCTACCAATGAGCTGGGCAGGTGAGGTGAGGTGAGATGGCGGCACAGGAGACTGGAAAGGGTGAGTTTTAACTGAGATACATGAAAAACACTTTGAATGCACATCTTGCATGACAGATTCAGCTGCACAGGGTCAGGGTTGATCAGAGCCTCTATTTTAAAAGGTCTAATAAGGTTAGGTGAGAGTTTGCATGATTCAGTGTGTAAGGGAACATACTTGATAGAGAGCCATACTTTGTGATCAGGTTAATAACGGGATTCAGGAGTCCAACGATGGTCTGCACATTGTTTATTTCGCTCCTCGGTCTGAGCAGCCCGTGTCACCTTTAGAGTTGCTGACACCAGCTGAGATGGTGCTGAACTGACGACACAGAGCACTTACTTTCAATAGAAGAAAACAGGGGTGGCTAAGAGCCCCAGGATGATTTGAAGCATGAGTGTCCAGTGGGTGATGAAGTCAAAGAGTTGTGAGAATACTCTGTCCACACTAGCTGAGAGATGCAGGTCTGATAAGACTTGTTGCTGCAAGAAAGCCATTACTAAGACATCAGAATAAGACACAGAGGCTTGCCTGGGCGATGAAACACCGCCATGGACTGGAAGATGTTATTATGGACTGATGGAGCAAAATGTAAAACATGGAGGAGGAAGTGTGATGGTCTGGGCCTGTTTTGCTGGATCCAGGGTCGGTGACTTGTACAGAGTGATAGGCACCCTGAACCAGCTCCATGCAATACCTCTGGCATGTACCAAGTTGGTCAAGGGTTCATCCTACAGGAAGGTAATAACCCAGAACATAAGTCCAAGCTATGCCAGAACTACTTCAGGAAAAAAGAACAAGGTAAGCTTGAAAACAAAGAGTGGCCAGCACAGTCTCCAGACTTAAACCTCATCAAACTATGTTAACATTTTGTTTTTGTGGCCCGCAGTAAAGGTGTTTGCTGCCTGGCTGTGGTGCTCCTTGTTCGTTTGGGTCTCCTGAGTGACCAGAGACCAGAGAGACACTCTGAGCCAGAGAGACTGAAGTCCATGGCACCACGGAAAAAAGTGAAATTGAAATTGTAACAGGTTGATATAAAATTGTGAAAACTTGGCATCTTTGTCTTCCTTCTCATTATTAACCTAGCAAGGGCGAGTGGGGGATTTCTTTTTTTATTAGAGATTATGTATCGGAATTTCAGGAGCGGGACCACGTCTCCAAACACGCTCCCTCCAGTTGTCATCTATATAGGTTCCACCAGTTCTGTAAGCTGTTCATTCTCGTTTACGTGCCCCACCCTCCCTCCCTCCTTGTTCTCAATTCTTTAACTTCTTCATTTCTATTTAGTACATGGGGATCTGCCAGGCCCGGGAGCCGTCGCAGGTGGACGCAATGGAGGAGGCACACTTGCACACAGGAATTTTTTTCATCCCACATACAATTTGTTTACAAAATACCGATACTAGTTTAGGTCTGGTTGAAACACAAACCACTGGGTCAAAGACCCAGAATCATCACACTTATGCTTCAGCCAGCTACACAAAGGGTTTGCTTTCTTGCCTCTTTTATTAGTTTTTTTTCCTGCTTTGCTATATCAGTGTTAGTCCCTATGAGACCATTGATTCTTGCGCCATTAAGTGTTGTGATTTTTTGATTCAAGTGAAGTGCTTTTTGAACTTTTTGAAAGCAACTGACTCACATAGTTATGTTGATATCCCAGTCTCAATAAACATATTCCGCAATGCTTCCGCTTGTTTGTGATGCTCCTACGAACTGACCAGTAGCCATCAGGTTGCTGTTAGAAGCACTGCATTAAAGACGAAATAAAATAAAATGTAAAAAAAAAAAAAAGAGAGAAAAGCACTGTGTGTTTTGTTTTTTGTTTTGTTTTCTACAAACAAAAAAACAGTCATATTCAAAGTAATCTCAAATTAGACTCTTGCACTTTCTCCCAATGTTTTCTGACATGATGATGCACTTGCCATCTGCTGGCATAATGCAACACAACAAGAAAAAAAAAATAGAAACTAGACTTCACATTAACCGTGGACTATTGTTTGACGCACACAAAAACAAAGAACTAAAAAAAAAACTAAGCACGTTTTCTCGATTATTTTAGTTGATTTTAATTCGTTTCGGGAACGCTCAATACAGTTTCAGTTAGTTTTCCTTTTTTCACAAACCCTTGTTTGTATTTATTTGAGTTAACAAAAATGTTTATTTAGTTCTAGTTATTTTGTTGTTTTTCATTAATGATAATAACCTTACTAGTCAAAACTTGAATCCTACAGTGCCACCTTGCCAGGTTGAAGACAGGTTAAAGCTTAAGCCCCCTCCCCAGAACAAACCATACATGCATCAATCATCTAACCTTAATCGATATTTCTATTATCATGACAAAGATATTCTATTTACTACTTCTAATGATTTTATTCAAATATAGAAGTTAGTTCACAATGATAAAAATACCAAACAAAAGACTGTCAAACTCTCCTTTGTTTTTTAAGTACTTGGTAAGCTTTCAGTTCCACCCTAATATAGAAAGACTTGGAATTTGCCACTTCATGTTTGACGCTCTGTACCTCCAATATAGTGGCAACCTGGAGCAGAACAGCCTCCCAACATTCCAGCCGGATGAAGGCTAATGAAGCGTTGAAGCTTTCCATCCAATTGGTTTGGGAAAAATGTTCATTTCTCAATGCATATGTGAGAAATTAACATTTGTTTTTTGTGGCCTATTCATCGAATTTATTTATTAATGTGTAATTACTAAAATTCGTACTTTTGTCACGTCCTGCAAGGCAGATTATGTAGAGAAGAGAGTGTGGACCCAAGAGCAGACACTGAAGACTGACTTACTGAGAGAGAGCTTTATTTACAGTAGGAGGCAACATACAAACAAGAGAAGAGAATGGCCATAACTTAAACTAAGAAAAACCTAAACTAGGAATGCTAACAAAAAGATGCAACCAGAGACAAAGATCTAGGAAAAACCTGAAACCTGGAGGGAACAACAGCAGGACGAACGCAGATGAAACACATCAACTCCGAAAGTTGGTGGATGATATCACTCTCATTGGTTTGATCCAGAATGATGACAGTCCGCATACAGACAGGAGGTGGACCAGATGTTGCACTGGTGCAGGCAGAACTACATAGAGCTGAACCAGTTCAAGACTGTGGAGATGAAGGTGGACGTTTGGATGACCAAATGATTCCTGCAGCTAGTGAGTCAGTGATGTAGCTCTCTATTGCCTCTCTCTCAGGCTTTAGAAAGTCTATACAGCTGACTGGTGGGCAATAGAGCACCAGGAAATAAGTTAATACTGCAGTCATTGGGACGGTGAGGCAGAGGAGAAAGATTCAGTAATGGAAATACTGGGCATAGTGGACCGCAGACAGGTTTTGTAACACCAGGTACTGCAACCAGAAACGCAAATCTTACCCCAATCGATTTGCAGATTATGATGGTTAAGCCAGGGACAGCCGAGAACCAATGGAGTACCAGGGGCATGGAACAAAAACAGGTTGACCTCCTCCACATGATTGAAGGACACAGGCTCTGAGCAAGAGTCTCAGAGCCTTTGATCAGCACAGCGCATGAGTGAGTGTGGGTCATATACAGTAATTTTTCTTGGCAGGTAAGACCAGGCAGGGAAACATCTTGAGTGGTGAACCCTAGTATCCCCACAGTTACTGACAGGCAGACTCTTTTGACTGCGACGGGCAAGTATCAATTTAGTGTCCTCTTTTCCCACAACAGAAACACTCACCCGCCAGCAGTCTTCTCCCCCGGTTGGAATGGGATATCGTAGCTGGTCCGAGCTGCATCGCCTGCTCCTCCCCGTCAGTTTTGAGTACCACCTGAGCCCATTTTAGCGCTTGTCCCATCAGCAGCTCCACCATGAATGAAACCTTGGCACTGTCTGAGGAAAAGGTGCGATTCTGCTGCCTAAAAACAAGCGCACGTTGGGTGAGAAATCCCCCACTTTTCTCCAACTCTACCGAAAACTTATCTGGTGTCTGCAGTTGCTGCTACCACGGAACAGGGGGAGGAGAGGGAGGAAGAGGACAGGAGGCAGCAACATGTAGCGTTGATGGTGGAGGTGAAAAAATTCCAACATTGGAGCACTGGGTCTGAAACACACCTTAAAACTCTAAACATTTTCTCATGGAGATGCAGTTGGTCTGCTTGCAACAATAAAACACCTTGAGCTGTGTTATTGCTGTGGACTGTCCGCTAGGTCCATTCCAGGCTGGGTCGTTATATCAGGGTGCATGGCAAGAACGGGGCCCAAATGCAGGAATTTCTGATCCAAGACAATACATTTATTTACAGTGAGAATGTGAACAATAGTGAAACACTTTCAAAGACATGGCTCCAACCTTGGATAATTACAAACGCTCCACTCCCACCATGACACACTCCTCTCTAGGTTCCTAACAACACAAGATGTACTGTAGAGGTTAGTTTAGTGTACTCAGTCACAACACGTAAAGATAATTTCCACTCAACAATCCAGCAGCAACAGAAGGTCGGCCACACAATTAAATAGTTGCCACTAACGAGGGTACTCAGTGGCAGCTGGTGAGTGTTGATGGAAGACGGGTGTGGCTGGCTTCAGCGTGGGAAATACCTTTT